ACTTTTTCTGAATGACTATGATTTGGATGACTGAGAATCTTCACCACAAAATAAAAGAAAGGTTTTACTTTCTGAGTGACGGCATAAGCAACAAAACCAACAGTTGTTTTTTAAATTCTTTGGAATCCCCAGCTGATGCAGCATAAGGACCTTGCTTACCCTCATATACAGCTAACCCTATTTCCCAAGCAGCTCTCACACACACCAGATATTTTGGGGGGAAAACTTACCTATAATGTTTGCTACTGCATTTGCAGATTCAAACAGTACAGCTGCAGAACTATCAAATTGTGCAGTGTCGGTGGAGCATGGCTGAAGAGGTGAAACCTCTTAAAAAGGTGTGACTGTTTGTTTTTTTAGAATCATATCAATCCTATCCATCTGTTAAAATGTGGTTTAGTGTCTAATGTTACGTTTTTCTCTGAAACGTTCTGACAGCAGCAGCGACCAGCTCCAGCAGTATTCCAGATGATTCCCTGCTCTGGTGTGCTTTTACCTGGAGGACAAACGACGGTCCATGTCATGTTCAGTCCTGTCAAAGGGGTAAAGATTTTTGTAATATTTCAATGCTCACTCACTAATGAATCTTAACCTCTGGTTTAAATAAGCTTGACTTGGTTGAAGAGCTGAAACAGCACTAAAATGTTTAAAAAACTCTTTGTTTTCTAGTGTTCATACAGCAGACGGCTGGTGGTCAGCGTGTCTGGCAGCAAGCAGCAGATCTTCATTACAGCTCAGGGTGATGCTGAAGAGCCACAGCTCGAATTCTGCCCATCTGTCCTGGAGTTCGCACCGTGTCTTCCTTTTAGCTCAGAGTCTAAAGCCGAGGTCAGAGTGAAAAACCTCTCCTCCTTCCCCGTCGAGTTTTACTCCCTGGAGTTCGACACACAGTACCTGAAGGAGGAGGAGGTAGCTATGTTTTAAAATGCGATGGAAAGGTCTCAGATATATTGCAGTAGCAGTCATTCAGAATAGCCCCTTTATACACATCTGGTGACGGGGCTCCACTGATAATGGCTTTTCATACTTGTTAAGCACGTGGTAAACTCTAAGTGGTTCTACTTGGAGTTGATTGAACTGACGAACAGCAGCTTTTGTGAAAATTAAGAGTTTCTTAAAACTGATTTGTGAAACGGATCCCTGGTGACTAATTGAACAGGGCTATGTGAGATGTTTAATCATCTAGATAGCTCATTGTGCTTGGACCGCCAGGCTACAGGGTGACCCTTAAACTGGCCTTTTGATTTTGATTTTCAAATGAAGGTAAATTGTGCCCCAAAAAAATCTTAAAAACTAAAACAAACAAAAACAACCATCATTTAGAAATCTCCTTAACTTTATCGCAGAACTGTCAGCTTTGTTGCTTTATCTGCATGAGGCTGTTTGTCACCTGTTATCCTCCAAAAAAACAGAGAGAACAGATGTTTTAATTATAAGATTGAATCACATACTGGTCTGTCTAAGCTCCAGATGTTATTGAGACAATTCAACTTAAAGGGGCTTCATAGATATGCAAGCCACCCTTTTCAGATTTTTATTCATTTTGGTATTTTAAAAGCATGTTCTGCATTGTGTATTCATCACATCAATCTCAGTATAACACATTAGGAATAAAATACAAAGTATTTAGCAGGATGCAGAAATGTTTGCAAGGCAATGTCAGATTTGGTGGAGGTTTGAGAGTATGACCAAAATGCAGAGACTGTAGCTGAAGGTGGTTTCTTGCAGATTTAATTTAAAAGGTGGCAACAGAAGCAAAAATCCAAAAACATAAATCCACAAAACACTGAGAATCAGGAATACTCACAACAAGGGCAAAGAAATGATGATGAACCAGCAACAGTGACTGCAGGAGGTGCATATATGGGAGACAGAAACAAAGACCAGCCTAAGCAGCAGATTGGGAGCAGGTGTGGACAGAGGAATCTAGAAGGGAGCTAGGCTGACACAAGAGGGCAATAGAGGGCAAACAAGAAATACCTCTGAACTCAAATACAATAAAAAAATAACTAGAATAACAAAAAAACGAAATAAAACCAATGAAAAA